AAAATAATAATTAAAAAATCGCACTATTACCAAGAATCCAAAGTTTCATTCAATAATATTTCAATATAAATAGATCAATAACCCAAAAACCTTCACAACCATTTTATAAGTAAACTCAAAATCTCAATTTATATTTGCTAAAAAGAAACAAAAAAACCCCTAATAACTGAAAGTCCAAAACTGTCCGTTCTTTTTATTTTTAATAATAATGTCCTAACAGGAGTTCCATATGTTCCGAATTTAAAGTAAAATCCTGGAAGCGTTTAAGCCCAAAGTCCGTTCCAAAACGAAAAGTCCGTACGACAACGAAGGGATTGTTAATGGGGGACGTCTGGTGGGTAGGAGGTCACATTTGGTGTCATTAGATGGATTTATAACATGGTCCCTCTCCTGTACCGTACAGCCACGGGAACAAAGAGGTGTTTTCCTGCCAGGGCATCCAGCTGGCTGTATACTGGTTCCTGGAGCGTGGCCATCAGGACATCACCGTTTTTGTACCTGCTTGGAGGAAAGAGCAGTCCCGCCCCGACGCTCCGATAACAGGTCAGTAAAAATACTTAAAAAGAACTCCTACATTTATATTGTGACCTTTGCTTTAATCTTCCCTTAACGACTATCCCTTTCAGACCAGGAGATCCTGCGGCGGCTGGAGAAGGAAAAGATCCTGGTTTTCACCCCCTCGCGGCGCGTTCAAGGTCGGCGCGTGGTCTGTTATGACGATCGCTTCATTGTCAAGCTGGCTTATGAGTCAGACGGCATCATCGTCTCCAATGACAACTACAGAGACCTGGCCAATGAAAAGCCAGAGTGGAAGAAATTCATAGATGAGCGACTGCTCATGTATTCCTTCGTCAATGACAAGTACGTTTTCTGCTGCAGAGGTTTTGCTCTCAGATAGAAAAAGGATGATCAAACCTTGTTTGTTATCTGGTATTTCTTCAGATTCATGCCTCCAGATGATCCTCTTGGACGTCACGGCCCCAGCTTAGACAACTTCCTGAGGAAAAGGCCCATCATGCCTGAGCAGAAGAAACAACCCTGTCCATATGGTGAGAAAAATAGCAGATAAAGTTATTTTTGAATCCATTACTCATGAATATTTTAGCAGTTCCCTGTTCAAACATACCTGGTTCAATGAATAGCCCCTTGTTGGGTCTCTGCAGAGCTTGACATGCTGAATAGGGCTTTTATCAGGTGTGTGTTGGAGTCAGAATATATCTATGTATACTGGAGTTGGAGACCGCTACGTGCTGAATTCAATCTGAGACGAATTGCGTCTTTCTGTTTTAGGAAAGAAGTGCACATATGGCCACAAGTGTAAGTACTACCATCCCGAGAGAGGAGCTCAGCCTCAGCGCGCCGTGGCCGACGAGCTGCGGGCCAGCGCCAAGGGCTGCGTCCCCTCCAAGAACCAGGGGGATGCTGGATTGGTGAAGAGCCACAGCGTGCCAGCTGGCACCATCGAGGCAAAGAACGGCGCCCTAAAAAGGCAGTCGGATCCCAGCATCCGAGCTCTGTCGTACAGCGACGCTGAGGAGAAGCTATTGGCCAAAAGTAGGTTGGAAAGTCAGAAGAGCAACGTAGGAGGGAGCAGCAGCAGCTCCAGTAGTAGCGTTAGCTGCGGCGGGGGTTTAACTATGGGAGGGCCCCCGTCTGCTTTTAGCCTTCTGCAGGACCAGCAGTCCAGATCAGGTGGGCATCTTCCTGCCCCCGCCCATGATCTCTACCCGCACTGCGAGTCTCCAGACTTAAGCTACTACTCAGTAACACGGGCCTACTCTGGCCTGAGCCTCTCCTCCCGGCGAAGCCCGGACTGCCGCTACCCCAACGATCAGGACCTACGGCACGGCTCCATGGGCTCAGCTGGCTCCGAATGCGGGAGTGAAAGCAGCGTCAGTTGTGGCAGCAGTGACTCCTATAGCGACAGATCCTGTCCCGGATGCTCCGCCGATACTTTAATAGAAGAAAACCTTATTTTCCATAACCCCCCCAGTCACCTCTACGCCCATCATGTGCCCCCCTCTAACCATGAGCTGTGCAGCCTTCATGCTGCGGATTACCCAAACATCCAACACAACCACTCCTCTAATCCAGTTCATTCCTACCACCTGGGCTCTGCTTGTGGACAGAGCTGCGTTCATGAGCCGCCGCCATCAGAGGTACCCCCTAAGCGGCCCCTCTACCCGCTGCCCCCTCACCTCCAACACCAGCCCCTAGCTGCTCGCTCCAGCTGCCCCGGCGACTACCAGTCTCTGCCTCAGTCCAACCGTCAGCCCCCCGGCTCCCCCGTCGGCCGCTGCCTGGCGCCCACGCGAACCGAAAGCGTATCTGACTCCCGCCTGTACGAACATCTCTCTGCGTCTCACCATCACCATCGACCGAAAGCTCTGCCCAGCTGGGAGACTTACTACAGACAACCGTCGCTGCCGCCGCCGAGGTACGAGCCGTCGGCCTATCAGAGTCTCCCCGATACGCATCAGACATCTTGGCACCCACCTGGATGGCCCCAAGAGGGCTACAGCCAGCATCACTCGTCTCACCCAGCTCTGCACCCGTCCCCCACACGCTACCGAAGCCACCCCCCACCATCGGCCCTCTCTCCGCACCCGCCTTACCCCCCTCACAGCTCCCATCTTGTATTTCCCCCACACCCTCCACCTCCATACAGGTCACAGCACCCCGAGTCTCCAGTGCACGGCCGCTATGAAGACGCCAGGGAGAAGGTGTACATAAACCTTTGCAACATCTTCCCCTCAGAACTGGTAAGCCGGGTAATGGCCAGGAGCCCCCACGTCACGGACCCCCAGCAGCTGGCTGCCGCCATCTTGGCAGAGAAAGCTCAGAGCGGCTACTGATCAATGGCCTCCCATGTGAACAATCACTCTAAATAAGTAGTTTGAATTAAAAACAAAAGAAAAACACATGAAACTTTAATGTTAAAGACGTAGGCCAATTTTTGAAAAACACCTCAAAAGATAATCAATGCCGACTGTAGCAACAATTGTTTTAATCTTCAACCAACTCAAAACATTACTTTTTAAAACACATTTATAAAAAGGAAAGGGGGAAAAAAAAAGCATTTTTACATCTCTGCCAAAAGGAAACTATTTGTTTCAAAGGAAACTCATTAAAGAAATAGAGTTCCTACACAAGAAGCTATATTACCCTAATCTAAAGCAACACTGTAACATTTAGCCACTAGGGGTCACTAGAACACTAACTTGGAAGTTAAGTGAGCTGAAAGCAGCTGGAAACGCTGCAGTTTGGCAAAAATAAACAAATACTCTGAGAAGTTTGAAATGTGGACCACTTTTGACATGCAGATAAAGACATCATGGAGGTATTTGTTAAATCCAAGGCTGCATTCACCCCCTAGATTAAATCCTACACCAGAGAACCAAAATATGTCAGATTAGATTATGTGTTTTGTTACCCAAAAACAAATTTAGCCTAGTCACATGCTCATTCAGCAACAGATCCGACCGTCTCATGCTACATAGACGCCCGTAGCATAGATTTTATTTATATTATTACTTTTGTGAAAAACAGTTAGTGTTTCTTTTATTCGGTCATTTATTAACTGTGTATTAAGGTGAGCAGTCATTTTCAGTCTAACCTGAAAAGCGCTTTTACCTGCAATAAAGTCAGATATCATGTTTTTAAATGTTGGAAAATAATTTGCTTTTACTAAATCTGCTGCCCTTTCAGTCTGTTTTGGGGGCTGAAAGAAAGGCAGCGCTTTACTTTTTTATATGTATAAGTTCAGGCTTTTCACAATTTAACATACATTTGTATTCACATAGTCACATTAAGTGGTTGGTTCACAATTAAATAGTCACCATAAATGTTTTTTTTAAAGAAATCCTTTGTCCCTCCGCCTGTTACATCTGAGCATTATGGATTTTGTGATTTTCTGCTACAGTTCAACCTAAATTGGTTTATTCTTACAGTCACTGTGTGCTTTGTGGGTTTCCGTTCCCATGGTTGTAACGAAAAGATGGGTGTTCTAAATGTTGTCGTTTTATTGAGACGACAGTCTTTTTGGTCAGAGTTGTATGCCGTAGAGATGGGTGACCCTGTCCTGTGTACCTTAGTTTTAGTAAGGGACATCTCTATCTCTCTCTCTGGGCCCTGAACTTTTGGGTCAACCCTGGTTATCTGCTTCAGCTCCGACGCTTCATGGACAGCAACTGTAAATATATTTAACCGTTTCCTCCGCTTTGCTTTCCGGGCAGTAGAGTCTGCCGTCGTCTGGAGCAGATCCCAGCTGAATTCACGCTAGACGGAGAAAAAAGAAAAAACCTGTTTGATACAAATTGTATCATGAACTAAGTCGCTGATGTTATATACAGTACTTGAACTTGTTGATGCGTGTCTATCAAACTCTCTTAATGTATTGCTATATGACAAAGTGCATCAATAATAGCTCTTTTTTTTTTAAATCCCAATCTTACAACTTTTTATTGTTAAAAATATCTTTGAGACAATTAATTTCAGTATTTTTTAAGAAATAGTTGTAGACCTACTATGTTTAGGTGTCAACTACATTACCTGTTTTCACCTTAGCTGGCTTAATTGTATTATTGTTAACGCTGGTAAAGATTTGTAAAAAGAAAGAGGCCCTATTGATCATGGTATTTTGTCATGAGTAAATCAATATTTTCTGTTTCCCTGAGATGGAAACAACTGAAAATAACTCATTCCTACAGCAACAGTTAAAAAGTGAAACAGCAACAGAGCTTTTTACACATCTACACCAGTGTGGGCAATAATAGTCAAAGCTGATTCTAATAATTGGGGAAACATTTGGTGATCTACAGCCTTATTTTACTCTGAGGTTGGGGTCACTAGCATTATGTCAGGTCTCTTCCAAGTCATTATTTCAGTGAACTTAAACCATTGGGCCGATATCCATGTGGCCATTTTGAATTTCTCTTAACACCCAAATTTCATGATTTCCATCAGTCATGGCTACATATATAAAAACACACTTTTTACACTTTAAGGACTTTATGATTTAGAGTTCCTCTATATTTACAACAAACAAGATGATTATTAAGTTCATTAAAAAATCCCAAGGAAAAAAAAAAGGATTGAAACCTAATCTATTCCTTAAGCCACATAAACAGTGGTCCTAGTTGCATTTATAAATTCTTAAAGTAGGCATTGTTTTTTTTTTAAATTGCTAAACTGATTTGGATTTATATAATTGATGAGCAATAGAAACCCCCCCCCCAAAAAAAACTGCTTAATAAACGACTAAGCCATTTTTTTGGAGAGTCCAAAATTAGTTTCTACGCTGATGACGTTTTCCAGTATAGTTGCAAAAGAAGCACTTAGAAAACCATTACAAAAACAGACCCCTGTTATTAGATTTCTCTAAAATTGAAAAACCTTATCACTTGTATTTAAATTCAAATATGAAAATCATTTCTGAAGTTCAAAATGGCTATAAAGGAGGTTAGCTTGAGTGAGCTTGTTAATTAACAAGCAAGCTCCATAAAGCCTGGTGGCTTCTTTCCTGTCCATCGTGACACGTTGTACAAAATATATGTTCAATTGTACAATAATGTTGATGCGAGGGAATTCTTTGTGTTTATTGAAGAAGCGCCTTCTCTCTGGCCTCTTGGCACCGTGTGTCAGTGTGGCGACTGAGCGTGGGCCCAAAGTAATGCCTCTCTGTGGCATTGTGCTTATGACACATCCGATACTCTGAACTATGTTCAGCTATTATGCATGAAGTTTTTTTTTAATTATTATTAATTCTTAATATTATGCATGAGTTGTATTTAATGTTTTTGTCTTGCTATTCCAATGAAATTCCAGTTACTGAAAAGCCTGTAGGTTAAAATGTTTGCAGAACCAATTTTCTTGCTTCTAGATTTTATGAGCAGCTACAACTTGACACTAACAAAGCAGGGGGTTCTTTACCTCCTATCTAATTACACCCTGTGGTAAAATCTAACTTCTAAATCTTTTAAAACTAACTTCAAGGATAACAAAGTTTCACATTTGTTACGTTTTGTCAATAAAGTGTAATTACTGTAAATGTTCAATAAAGTCAGTTTACAGCTATAAAATGTGCCGTGGCTTGTGTTTGTGTTGTAAGGTTATGTTGAATGTTGTGTGCAAAAAAAAAAAGGTTGTAGTTTTTCTTAAAATTGAACAGTTGAAGTATATTTTTAATCAAAAAAGTAACAATTGTGTAAAAGCTGTTAAATATTTTTGTATGCCATAAATTAAAGAAAAATGTATGATTATTGAAATGTAAATAAAACTGTAGTGAAATATGAGACAAATTGAATCATAAGAGAAAATAACTAATAGTCCTTTGCATCAATTTTTTATTTTTATTTTTTTAACAGTGGATCTAAAAAGTGCCAGTAACTTATTAATTAGAATTTATTTTTTACGTGAGATTTGATCTGTGAAAATACAAACTTGATGCAATAATGTGGTCAAATCACTAAGCAGAGCCCTAAACAAAAAAAAAATCAGCCCGAATTGTTTTGGGTCAAAACTAGCTGGTGTTTTGAATAAAAACTGCCATTTTGCAAGAATCTGTCACAGCTTTGATTTGCTCAGACAGTGGTGACTTTTCAATTTGCCAAAGACATAATGAGCCTGCATAAAATCAAAACAGAATAATGCTGGGAGATTTTTTTTGTTACTGACAAGCTGGAGGATTAAACCTACAGATTCTGACATATGCATTAAACAAACTTAAGGGTTTTTCTAAAATTAGATAGTGGATCTTGTGTTTCACCCTAAAAAAGCACCCAGATTCTTTGTTTCGCATAAAAACTAGATCAAACTGAAGAAAACTACTTAAAGTGCCTAAATTAACCAGATAATAAAGTTTCAAAGCCGTTACTAAAGTTTTGGTAATTCTTCTCCAAATCAACCCCTTGAGTCCCAAATGACACCTGCTCATGTTTATCTATTTATAGAAATGGCCAAAACACAGTCACATGGTGTTTCTTCCACACGCCTTTCAAATGGAGCTTGAAAATTTCTAAAACATGCTTCAAATTTTATTTTTTTCACAAATACTTTTTGTTTTATAGCTGTGTAAACAAATAAAATTATATTTAAAATTCCACCTCACGTGTGACTCTGCGGGACTAACGCAACAGCAGGTGTTCATTTTTAGCCCCACCCCCTAATGGTCGGCATCATTGGAAACTGCAGGCTCAGACCTTTCCAACGAGGGGTCAGATGTTCTTATTTGTTCTTATTTTCTATTCAGTTTGGTGATATTACTGGTAAATTTCAATGAAACAGCAGCTAAATCTTAGGTGCAAAGTCTTTTTCTTATGCTGAAGGTCTCCAATAATGTAAATCGGCATATTTTTCCGTCCAGATTCCTTTTTATGAGTAGAAAAAAGCTGTTTTGCACTTTTGGCATTGTGCCAAAATGACATTTCCACCTAGCACACTGCCACTAAAACCTTTGTGGAAAAAAAACATGCTTCAACTTATTCGGTATAAATTTGCTTGAGTTATAGATGTGGATCTATAAAGTCTGAGGGTTCATCCAGAGTTTCAAATGGGGTTTCATGGTGTTATGCAGCGTTTATTTTGGAAAATAATTTGGTGAGGCTTAATATTGAAATTTTTTCTTTGTTCAGTCACCAATAAATCAGACATGGTGACGTTTAAAGTAGAAAAATATTCCTCAATGCCTTTGTGTCATAAAAACAATTGTGTTTCCAATTTATAGTGTGGTAGCTGTATTTTAAATAACATATACAATTTCAGGCAGAATTTGCTCCTAGGATGCTCAGGGGGTTAACTTGTGTACTGTCTGTGTTTTCCAGTCAAGAGCAATATATGCATAAAAAGCTGAAAGATAACTAGCAGTTTGGCAAGCTCTGACCAATAGGACAAATTTCCAGTCCCTAGTTTAAATGCTGGTTAGTGTAGCACAGCTTGTCCATCACATGGTTTGATCTCCCACATCAAATCTTATTTCAGATTTAAAAAGTGCTGAGTTTTAAATGCAGACCCATCAGTGAATGGATTGTGATGGATTTACATTGATTTGAGCTAAACAATGGCAATGCTTTTAAAATTAAACGTAATAGTCTAAAGATGATTTAAAGGGAGCTTCATCGTATTTTAGACAGCTCAGTGTGTAAAGTTTAGGACTTCTTGGTCCAGTGGATTAATCATCCGATTCCCACCAGTTCAATGGTTCAAGTTAAATATGATCTTCTCTTGTCAACATTGGAAGATAAAAAGGCCGATCCTCCAGGAGAACATTTCAGAGTGAGGAAGGTTGAATGGTGTACTCAACCCTTTTGGTCAGAGTTCAATACCAGCAGGAGTTCAATGTCTCATTATTTGGTCAACCACTGCTGTGAAACTAAGATAAGTGCGCCAGGAGACCATGTTAAAGTATGAAGGGTGTTGTGGAGCAGAGGGTTTGTTTGTGACTGTAAGGTGTCAGTGATGCAATGTGTGGTTCAAGCCCCATGTTTCTTAGGTGCTATACACAAGGAGACAATTACTAGTTAAACCGAGAAGGAAATGTAACTTTTTTCCAACAGTAATAGTGAGATCAAAAAGATCCAAAGTGTGACAGAGTGATTGCTATGTGACCCAGCTATAATCTAACGATGAACTGCAGTCTATTGTAAAACAACCTTTTAGTTTGTTTCCCCATTTATTGAACATTAGAAGTCCTGCCTTTAAATCTGCCCAAATACCCACCAATGTGGATTTTTTTGTGTTGGACTTGGAAAAAAAAAAAGTCAGAATGTAATGGAGCTGCAATTTATGAAGGGATGGGGGGGGGGATTTAAAAATAGATTTACAATTACAAATTTAAAAGGAATAAGGATACAAGGAGTTTTTACTTTGTTTTTAAGTTGTTTCTTTACCAAGTAATTGAAAAATTTCCTTTATGAAAACAAACATTATGAAATCTTTGTGATTTACTAATAAAAAGTATTAAGGAATACTGACTGCAAAGGAAAACAAACAAAAGACAAGCTTAAAATGTAAAACTTTTATTTGTGAGAAAGAAATTGACCATAATCCACTGCCGCCCATCTAACTTAAAGGATACAAACATGAACAACAGAAAGGAGAAAAAAAAAAGACAGCTGGTACCAAAGCGGACATGATCATCATCCCCAAGATAAAACCTTCTTTGAGTCGAGCTGAACATGTCAGCGGAGCCTGTACTACTACACTTGGCTAATTTCCAGTTTTGTTTGGTATTTTTTTGTTCTTTTAAAGGATTCAAAATCAGGAGCTGGTAGAATGAGGTAATTTCTTTCCACCTGCTATGGCAAAACAAAACAAAAAAAAAAACACTAAAGGCGGCTGAATATTCCACACAAAAGAAAATGAAAGAACCATAACCAGCTGTCAGGTATAGCAAAAACAAACAAATATTAACGTTAATAAAAATAGTTTCAAACTTTAAATGTGATTGTTAGACTGGAAGGGGGCGGGGGAATATTGCAATAGTAACCCAAAACAACAAAGCAACATTACTAGTTTGTTTCTGTGAAAAGGCAGGACGCACTCCGAGTGTCTGACTTTCAGCCAGCGCTGCTGTTATCGCTGAGGTAGAGATGCGCCCCACCCTGGGACTGAAGTACTCATACGCTCCCCAGTCAGAGATGCTATGGCGTCTTAAAACCATCCAATGGATCCTTCGTGAACAGGTAGGCATAGAAAACCCTCAACGATGACTGGGAACCCCGCAGCAGCACTACAACAGAACCATATAGCTTATCTTTATAATACTTTTAAACACGAGGGTGACGGCTGAGTGGCACAAACTGATTAGTTAATCCTATAAGAAAAAAAGTTCCCTTTGTAATCTCTGTTACATTCAACCGTCAAAACCTGCTGCTTGACAAGTGGCTCCAATTCATTCACAGAAAAGATTTCCTTTTAAAAGCTCTAAATACTGCCGTTTAGATCAACCAGGAAGTGAACTATTTAAAAATACTGCGGCTGTTTTTCTTCCACATGAACCTCCCAAATGTTAAGTCTCACTCAGCTCCAATATCTGATATGTTTCGACATGATGTAACATTCAAAGCTAAATTAACAACCATCACAACGCGGTTCATCCCAATACATGGGGATTATTCCCAAAAAAAGGAACAAAAAGGGACCTTGACATCTGACTAAAGTTTTGCAAACATGTGTTAAAGAAAATAAGAACAACAAAAAAAAAGTAGCTTTCTATTGCCAGGTAGAAAATAGAATCTAGATTTGGTTTTACAGTTATTCTTCCCCTTCAGATAAATTGCTTGTTCTGAGCGGCTCTATGTGAAGAAGCTTTGGCATTGTCTGGTTGCCTGGGTAAGAAGAGGGGAAACTAGGCGGCTCTGTTTTCACATGGACTCGAACTCGTCGATGCGCTGCTTCGTGTTGCCCTGCCGGATTTGCCGCAGCGTTTTGTACTTGTCTCGGCCCTGCTTCATGTTCTCAGCGTGCAGCACGTCGTTCTGCGTCTTCTTGGTCTCGTCTCGGGCGTCCGCCAGCTCGGTGCTTAGAGTCTGGACAGGAGGAGACACGGTGAGGGTGTGACACAAAAGACGGACGAAAAAAAACATGAATAAGACAGATAAGAAGCGGTGGTTTTTCCCCCCCAAGCTAGCACTCCATTTTGACTTGACTTTAGGAACTATAAGAGCTTTATTTTTAAAGATTGAATTTGGTCCATTGATCACAATTATCACAAAAACATCAAAAGTGAAGACAAAAGCAACAGATAGTAATAATATTTATCGGGTCTTTCTATAGTACAACGTATTTTGGGGAAGCAGAACTACAGTTGCAAGAGTACCTTTCTTATTTTAAATATACAATTGCTTATTGTTTTGGTTCAGCTTTAAACTTATTAATAACTTTTCAAATTGGATTAAACTGAAACAAGATGCTTACATACACTGTATAAAGAAAATGGATAATTTTGGTCATCCAACAGACGTAAAATGATTTTAGGTTAAAAAGGGGACTTGATTTTAGCTGCAGTATATGTAAATATCTGGTTTCTAGTGCGACTGAAGGAATAAATCCATATTTTGTGTGATTTGAAGCCACGTTACAGTCTAAGCCAGCACACCTCCTGTTAGAGGCAGGAGGATACAGACGGACGGACAGATAAGCGTGCCTCTCTTACCCTTATCTGCCATTGCTTGGCCCGTGTTTCTTCTTTGTTACAAAACTGCTGTTAGAAAATAATATCCTCTTGTTACTTCTTTTTGTGGGAAATCATGTTTTTAATGAACCTAAGCAGGTTTTTTTTGTTACACTAGAGGTGTAGCTTCATTGAATTTTCTTATAAATGATTTATTACTACTTTCAGCTTTCTACCCAGATCCCTCCTCCTTTTAAAGTCGCCTCCAAACCCTTTCTCCCAGGCTGCTCACCTGCAGCTGCTTCTTCACCCTCTCGTTCTTCTGGAACTCGGTGACACGAGCCTCTTCGCTGCGGAGGTCCAGCTGGCTGACGCCTTCGTTGGACAGCTCCGCGCTTGCTTCTGCGTGGTTCTCGTCCTGCTCGTCGTGCTCATGCTCAGCGTGACCGCCGGGATGAGCGGGCACAGGTGTCACTGCAGTCTTCAGCTCCTCCTTGGTCTTTTCCAGATCCTCCTGAGCAGACAGAGCCTGCAAGTGGAGAAATGAGGATTTATGAAGTTTGAGGCCTACAAGTCCTTTCTAGGTGTTTGTTTCCATGATTTGCAAATTTTAGATAATACCCACTTTGCATATAGACATTTTTTCCCCTATTAATGTCACACATAAGTCAAACTTAATCAAATGTCTGCAGTAAAACACAAACATGTCTGACCAGCAAAGCAGATATCTAAGCTTTAAAGCTTTAGGTTTAACGATCATGGTGGAAGTGCTGCAGACTCTACATGGAGGGGAAGAAGTGACTGCAGTGGATTTCTGCACAATCTTAGGAGGTAATACACATTTTTTTGAAATTGAACCTGGTAAACCTCAAGCTGTGAAGCTGATGGATGGAGAAGCAGGTGGGCGGACAGACAATAAGACGGATAAGGTGATTGGTGGGGGACAGACAAGCACATTAAAGCATACATGGATGAACTACAGAGTACAGCTGTACGCATAAATAAATGTTAGGTACCTACCTCGGTTTTAATGTTTTCGGTATGTTTTAATCAAGAGAAAAACAAATTTGGATCCTTGTTTTGTACTGGATTAAGCAATAAACCAAAAGAAGAACTTCCTTGCAAATGCATGGATAGGCGTTTTTATAAGGATTAAATATGTAAACATATAATAATAAACTCAGTAAAGGGAAATATTCTGAGTTATACATGTGAAAACAACAGATAAAATATTCTTAATACGTTTGACAAACACACATTGTTATTAAGTATTTGACTGAGGTGAATGCAATAAGTGGTACTGAAACGAGGTGTTATTGACTGCAGTACCTTGTGCTGCCACTCGATGGCCTCGTCCTCCTTCTTCCTCTTAGCCTCTTCCAGGAGAGCGATCTTGGCTGTGAATTCTGCCAGCTCTGCAGCCTGGGATAAAGGAGAGGCCACCGTTAGACGCTGTTCAAACAGAAGAGTTTTTAATATGTGCTAAACTCTGGAAACAAACCAGCTGCTCTTGGGTTTTCTGCTGGTCTGCAGCCTGCCTGGCCAGCTCCGCCTTGGCCTCCTCTGCTGCTCGTCTCTCTCTCTCCAGCTTCTCAGCCTCCTCTTTGGCTCTCTGCCTTTCCTGCTCCAACTCCAAAGCCCGGCGGGTCTGCTCTTCAAGCTCTATCAGAGAGTAAAGATGTCTGCTCTAATGTATTCCAGGAAAGTCATCCACACAAGTTTAACCAATGGGACGGTCGGGGAACACCTTAAAAATAACTGTTTTTTTTTAACAGCATAGATAAGCTGATAAACTGATGAAACAGAGAGAATATAGGAACCTCTCTGAGCTTTCATTGTCTGCTCTTCAATCTGCCGCAGCCGCTCCATGAGCTCCTCTTTCTCTCGCTCTATCCTTTCCTTCTCCTTCTCAGCAAGCTCTCGCTTCCTCTTTTCATTCTCCAGCTGGTCTCTGAGAACATCCACAAGTAGAGGTTTTAGTTCTTGAACAATTTAAGAAAGATGCAACATTTTGGATCTATTGACAGCTGCAGTCCTAACAGGCACCATTTTTCATCAGGCGCGCGCTCACCTTTCCATCTGCTTGTGGTGCTTTTCTTCTCGCGCTTGAGCCTTCATCTGCTGCACTTCGATTGTGTCTGGCTTTCTTCTCCTCATGTACAACTCGTGGTTACCCATACACAACGCTAAAATACGCTTGTTGATGCGCAGACGGGGGGCGTAAAACACAAAGTCCTGGAATACAACAGGGAAACATTTAACATTTGAAATATGCTGCAAGTGACTTATCGGTTAATTTTTCAATGTACTCACAGGTGCTTTTTTGTCAATAGGCTTGATGACAAATTTCTTGTCATTAAAGGAGATGTTTCTGATCTCACTCCAAGGAAAGCCAATCTTTGGTGTCAATCTGACAGGAGGGGGAACAATATCACAGTTAGAGATCAATCATCAGTTTGCATATGAATGATTACACCAATATAAGCAGAACTTAGTGGTTGAGGGGCTTATAAAGAAGGAATTATCTTAAAAAATTGTTCATGTGACGCCATCTTTGTTTACTTCTTGATTCTTCAACAATGAAGCAAGTTTAAAGCAGGAATATTTGATAGTAAACACCGAAGCATAGCAGATAGAATTTAAAAGGAAATCCTGCAGATTAAATCCATTCATTCTTTCTAATAAATGGAAAACAAATCCGACCGGAGAGAAAACAATAAAACTATAGTTTTCCTTCCTCCATATTTAGCGGCGGAGTTGTGTAACAGCAGACGTCGTTGCGATGACATGTATTGACAAACTTCTACCAACCGTTATAATTAGGAAACATTAAGCTGCGAGCTTCCAGTTATTGCAGTGTTTTGTTCTTTCCCAATCCCTCCAAACAGCAGCTCTAACGCTTAAATATTTAATCAAATCATTTCCAGTGGATTTGTAACAGATGTTTGAATGTAGATGAATGTATGGTCGTTTATCAGGATGCACTGATCATTGGAAAATAGGGATATTCATTTGGTTTAAGTAGATCATTTCAGACAGTCTTCCCTGTCCCAATATGATACCTATTTGTCCCCAAACTTGTCCAGGTTTAAACATTTAGTTGACATCTTACTTGTCCTCGTGTTCATAGATGTTTAGACCGAGTGCGTCCACACCAAGCCATAGCTGCGTGCCTTTCTTGTTTTTGATCTCAAAAAAGTTGACGCCATACATCTCCAAGTCTTGGGCAATTTTTAAGTACTCCATCATTGAATCTTCTCTGTAAAAAACAAGAGAGAAAGTTTTTATTATGAAATGTTTTCCCTTAAATCTGACTGTTTTATGAAATTAATAAAAAGAAAAGTAGAGGAACGTTAAATCAAACTGAGACTAATTGTGGTATTCTAACATTACATGGGAAATCAGATCAAACAAGGATCTAGACGTCTATGAAAGCAAACAAAGTTGAATCGCTACCTGAGCATTCCTCTGTGTTCCTCATGCCAGGTCTGTATCCTGTCCTCCCATTGCTCCTTTGTCAGCTTGTGCTGCTCCAGAACCCTGAGGAAACACACAGACGCTGACGTTTACCTGAAGGAATGTCAAATGGCTTTAAATTGCTTCCTTAGGAGGAAATCATACAGTACTCCAACTGGGAAAGGAAAACATTTGATCTTCCTTTAACCAGAAAAAAAAGAGTCCAGCTCTCAGAGCTGAAAATAAAGTGGCTGAAGAATCCTGTAAAAACAGAAGTCGAACTTCTGTGCATCATTATTAGGGTTTTGATTCAACAGACTGAAAGAAAATATTCCAATCTTCATTCTAAACCACCTCCCCATAAATCTTGCAGCGTTCTCTCCACAGCATGACCCTGCTCCTACCATGCTTTACTATACAGTTGCAATCAAGGCAGAGGTGTAGAGTTAGTTCCACTGAACTAGAGAGATAAATATTGGTCTCATTTGAAAGGAGGAACCTTCTTCTACATATTTGCTGTGTCACCATTATGGCTAGTGGCAAACCAAACAGATTTATCTTTACAAACCTTCAATAAAAGGCAGATCTGTGCAGATTTTATCACGTCTGCCGTGATCTTTGGTCTACATGATGGAGTATAAATAATTGAACGTTATTAATTTCACACTGGAGAAATTCATTTTCAGAGCACAGGCGCACTGCTCTATCAGGCCATCACTTCTCCCATTCCTCCTCCCCGGTGGTTTTAAACACTTACGTTCTCTGAATTCAGAGAGAAGATTGATGTAATGTTATGTCATGTCATTTGGGGTTAGTTTGTAGCCTTTCCATACCTCTGAGGCAGCAGTCTGTCATGGGTAAGGTATCCAGGCTTATGAACATCTTTGCTGTAGTCTCCATACTTGGCCTGGACAGCATACGAAGCCAGTAAGACGGCCGTCTCTGGAGGACAATAGTTTTCGTCGTTCAAAATGGCCTCTTTGACCTAAAAGATCAAACGGAAACAATCGCACAAAGAGCAGCTGGATTACAGATTCCCTGTCTTCAGCCATATATTGACACATTTAAAGGCACATGATCGACAAGTGGCCACAGAATTAGCATTTCACCTGTAAGAAGAAAAGTCTCTGTGTGATCTCCTGGATCAGTTCCTCAGACACATCCTCTGGGAAAAACTTGGCTCTGAACTTGAACTGCAGAGGGTTTTCTTTCTTCACATCTTGCTGCGTCACCTGGCGAAAAAAAATGACAAAAGAAATTAGGGTCATCTGATTTGAATTCGAACAGGTCACTTCATACCTGCATCTATCTTAAATAATTCTAGTTAAAGGAGCAAAACAAATAAAAATCAGATTATACCTGAAAATAAAAGTGAAATAGATTTGTCGCTTTAAGAAATCCAGCATTCAATACAGCGGTTTTACAATGTGGCCCGTGATGAGGCTGCATGACATTCTGATATCTAGTGACACCTGCTAGCGTGGTTGAACTCACAGCATATGTGGACAGCTGCCTCTCTCTCACACACACAAATAGTTTCCATCTTAGTTAATTAGAGTTGCCTCTGTTATGAAGCAGGGGAGTTTGCAGTAATTCAACACAAACATGTTTCTTAACATTTCTGTTACTAAAGGAAGTTTTTTTTTTTTTTTCATTCCTGTCTTACTTCTGGCAAACAAGTGGTGCAGGAAAATTCAAACCTCTTTACTAAAATAAAAACCTATCTAATGTAAGAGGTAAACAGTGAAGAATAACAGCAGATGAAAAGTTAGGGAGTTCAATCTAACTAGTGAACTTAATTATGGATTTTGGAAAAATAGTTTGTGTAGTCAAAAGGAACATATGAAAAAACATTTTCTGTGCATTTAAAAACTAACCTTTTTGTTCAGTTTTAGCCATGTGACGTAACCTTTACTGTCCACATACTGTAGACCGAAGAACCAAACCTCCCGCAAACCCACTGTTTTCACCACCTGGAATAGAAGGAAAAAAAAAAAAGTTTGAAATTCATAAAGCCTTTACTTAATTCAAAAAAACATGAGTACAGACTTGTGTTCTCTCCAAGTATGTTCTTGACAAGAACACAGGAAAGTATGAACTCTGAGAAAGCGGGAGCATGCAGAATAAATCTGGATCAAATGGAACAGAAGCGTAATGGTGACGTCACCACACGCACGGATCGTCTGGAGGTGCATACTTCCTGTTATTAATAGACTTTTTTCCATTTAGTGAAGGAATAATGATTACCAGTCAGATAAACCTAAATTCAAATGAACTTCACACACTGCTAAGCCGAGAGAGGGCTGTAGCAGACGGGCTAATGTTAGCCCTTGCTAGCTGCCGTTAGCCACCGTTCTCTCAACATTGAAACTTTTTTTGGTGAATTACGCACTAAATCAGTAAATGGGCCATATAGCAAAGCTTAAAAATATAGTTTTCTCAACTCAAATGATCTTAAAATGTACTTTTATAGAACAACGGCAACAGAAATGTGAACTTTTAACATAATACTCTGAGCTCTGTGAGTGTTCCACTGGAAGTTGCTGCCGCGGTGCATGCTGGGACAGCTGTCAACCTCGAGAACGGATAGGTCTGCTCTGATGCATGCTGGGTAAAGAGGGAGGGGTCAGAACAACACCCAGACTCCGTTCTTGTGAATTGGAACAGTGCTAGGGCTGAGGCTGATGACGTTACACGAGCACGTCTTAGACAAACTTAGAGTGCATATTATACACATATTGAGGAACGACCTGAATAAATGTAATTTAATTAAATTCACCATATGCTGGGGTTTCCCGAAATGGACCAATCACTACGTGCAGACACAATATCCTTCACAGGTTTACATTAGTTGGACTCACCTGGTCAAACAGCTGTTTTCCTGTGGTGCTAGGCTGGATGGCAAACTCCAGCTCTGCATCCATGGTGGTCACACGGACATTGATCTGGTTCAAACAACAAAATAGGAAGATTGTTTGTTTATAACAATAACTGCAAAAAAAAAACAAAACAAAAATAAAATAGTCAGGAGTTTCCTATTTGATTCTGAAGTGTATTTTTCTTAAGTGTTTGACTCCCCTGTTTAGATCTTTTTCCACCTAAGAATGACACAAAAACGCATCTTGCAGGTTTTTTCATGAAGGAAAAATGGAAATACTAACAGCTGTTTTTGCCATCAAAGATATTCCTCTAACCTTCCACCTCACATCTCTATTCTGATTTTCAAAAATAAGCAAAAAAAAAGTGCAAAGAGCAGTTAATCCAGATTTACTTGAAATTAACCTATTGAAAAATCTCCACATTAACACATTAAAATGAGGTTAAGTGTTTAGATCCTCAAAGTATGCATAAAAACATTTGTGTTTAAGGTTCAGATATACTGATACTTGCATCTCTAACCAGTTAACAATGTCAAAGTGCAGCAGAATCATTTTTATCCAACTTTTAAAACACCAGCATTGTAAGGAAGAACACTGATTGAAGGCTGCACAGCCTGAGGTCTGACGACCTCTACTGGGGGGAGCATACGATAAAAAAATAAAAAAATCAGTCACTGACTGACGCTTGCTAAGCTGCAATGGCAGAAGGACTAGCAGCAGCTGATGAGGGCGGGTGACCTCAGAGGCATCTCACATCCTTCCTCCCACACCTACGTGCACGCACTACAGTGTGTAGCCCAGAGCTGGTTGAGAGCACGAGACGCAGAGAGGCGCTTAGTAGGGCGGAAGCTGAGAGGCAGGCAGTGCAAACTCAAAGTGCAAGAAAAAGAAAAAAATTACAATCTAGGCGGCAAAATGCAACAGGAAGCAAGAGAGAAGTTCTGGAGTTCTGCTTCCTTTGCATGAGAAGAAGCTGAGGCAGTAACATTTGCTTTGCCTCCATAGAAATGATACAGAAAACCTCAGCAATGCTAATCTGACAATTCTCTGCTCTCATTTTAATCCATGATATCAGTTTTCTGTTCAATTAAAACCCCAACAAACTTCCAAACTCACTTAACCAAAATCATTTTAACAGTCCTTCACATTTCAAACAATATTTTATCGCATAAGATTTGGTAAAAGGTTTAAAATCTACGTGTAACATTTGAGTACTAGCAGCTACTACTTCAATGAATTACGCAACTTATTCATTGATGTTTATCATATCATTCATCAAGATAGTGATAAACATCTTGTCATGATTAGATTTTGATTTTTACATTTAAATTGTTAAATTGGGATATTTAAAAGCTACTAAAAAAAGCAAACGGAGCATTCACAAATTCCAAGAAAATTATTAAATGCGGTCCTGTGTGCAGTTTAGTAATAAGAATCCCACTTATTTATGCAACAGCTGTCCTGAAAACCTTTTATAAATGGGTCCACCTTTCCAGAGCAGTATTTGTAAATGTGGAGTCCGATCACAACCATCGAGTCACCCAAGAAAGTAAAGAAGTAAACGTCATTGTCACTTTTTACCTCATCAGGGCAGTGCCACAAAATATTGTGACCCTTAATCACAAGTCAAGCAATTATAAACAAAAGGCGATCATTAATTCATGAATTTCAGACAGTCCTCTTATAATCTTCCCCTCTATATTTTAAAACAACAACTGACTAAGTCAAACGTCATGAAGAACAACGTTCTGTTCTACCTCTGCAGGTCAAGAACTGCAAAGTGAGCAAAAACTTCCTGTGATTCACAACAGATACTGTTCAGTCTACTGTCCTCTGTGCCTGGGAGGGTGGTAGTAACAGAATGCATGTCTGATCTTAGCTTTCTGCCTCAACTGAGCCTTTTCTTGCGTTTTCCCCCCCCTGCCTTCTTAGCAATACACTGTCAGAGCTCCTCTCTTCATGCTCTGTGTTGGTGGTAAAGTACTGTGTGTCTGCTGAAATGCAGTAAACTAACACGGCCAAGAGGAGGCCCCATGTATGGAGCAGACAGCCTGTTAATCCGTTTCTCTTGCAGACAGAGACGGGGGGAGGAGATGAGGGACAGCAACAACATGCTGAGGGACTGACAGCTAATCACACAGGGCAACAACTGACACGTCTTGGAGCGCTGACTTTTGTAAGCCTGTGTGTTATATCGACTTAGAGGGTCATATCAAAAATGAAAACAGTTTTGACTATTAATGATTGTTTTCAAATGTTTAAAAGTAGCAGTAAACCCTGACTTCTGCCTAAATCCCTTTAAAATAAAAATCAATTAATATTTATTGTTTTAATAATGACAATATAATAAATCCAGAAGCTTTTTTAAATTTGATATTTAAAATAAAAAAGTTATAAAACTGTATTGCTGCAAAATGTCATAACTGATCTAAAACATCCCTTTAAAAGGGAGCTACTTTAAATCGTATATACACCTCTCCATATGTAACTAGATACTTTCTCGATAGGGATAACTGTGTTTTTAATACATTATTTCGCAGACAGTAGATTGATATCAAAGACAATACTTTTAAAATGCTTTTATTCATTTAAAACAAAAAGCTATCACTGAGCTGAAACTTTAAAGTGTCCTGATTAACACTATTAGAAGAAATGTTGAAGATGACTCCATTTCATATTGAACAAACCACCAAATAAAATCCTAAAAACAAAATACGTTTTTTTTTAGGCATGATCCATCTACTGATCAGGCCCAGTTAACTATCTCTATTTATTACAAACACACAGCAGAGGAATACAACACACTGCTACACTGATTAGGAGCGGCAGACAACAGGTAAAACATGCAAAATGCATTAACCCACTTCACCCTGATAGTAAATCCACAGCCATTGAAACAACTTTTACCCAGCTTTGACCCATCTTATTTACTCATTTTGCCTTTAAAATGTTCCCTCCACATCCTCTTCCAAATGTATATTCTTTTTGAACTTCTCCACTGAAATGTGTGCAGCACCACCTCAGGGTGCAGTGAACATAGCTATGAGATTCCTCGCTCTCCATTTCAGATGCAAAGGTAAGTTCTCACTCTGATTTGACCATTGTTAAACGTGCAGCTGTTTAGACACTGTAAGCTGTTTAGAGAAGCTTTGCTGAGAGGTCTTAAAGCAAACACACACTAACTGCAGTCAGTTCAGAGCTGCTAATCTGAGCTGCCAGGCTCAGAGCAACTGTCTGTACCTCTGATTAACCTCACAGCACAGCGAGGGAATCCTCCCACCGACCAGAAAGGGGATGACCACCACTGCGTCACATAAAGACCCTTATTTTAAAGTAGGGTAGTTATTTTACAGGTTGGAGGTTCCTTAGGTTGTAAAGCTCATCTTTCTGACCCCCCCTGCCCTTCAGTTGCCTGGTGATCAGTCTACAAGCTGCTCTTTTACTTCCACAGAGCCAGGATGTTGACTTAAACTGGGCCCCCGAAAGTACACAGGCAGCCCCCTCCCCAGCAAACAGGAAAACAGCCTTCAGCTAGCTAGCAGCAAATGGCTTCTCTGTTTTCTAGTCCACAGTTTCAAAGGGGCGGTGTTAAAATATTTTCAAGACAAAAACTTTAGTTTAATGTTATTACCAATACTTAAAACTGACAGAGGTTAGGAATGCACCTGCCATTCAGCCATAGATGGGATTAAATTCATTTTAATCATCTCAGTTTATCAATCATCAATGACAAATTTGTTTTTTTGTTTGTCTGTATTTTATACTTTATAAACAAATCAACAACAGTCTGACTCTGTTTTATTTCATTTCTGTTCCGGGACAAGGTTTGATGTATAAACGGGGAAGATTCAGGAAGTTCTTGTTTTCACTCGGATTCAAACTATTTTTACCATCAAAGAACCCCAGATTAAACATTTAATCTGTCCAAATCACAATTGGTTGCCCAGAATTAGACACATAATGGAAGACAAGCTAGGAAAAACCTGACTGTTGAGTCTTTATCAGAAAAAAATAGATATTAGAAAAGCAGAGAGCACAGGCCTCCGCCAAGCAGCCAAGTTTGCCTCATATTGTGACTTATAGCTAAAACTCACACATGATCTGGACCCTTACCCAATTTTAATTAATTGTTCCTTGGCATGAGGCACACCATTGCTAAAAAAAATCCTTAAAATCCTTTCATAAGTTTATAAATTAGATACAGTGTGTGTCTGCAGCCTCTGGTGTTTGTTCTGCTCTCCCTGGCTTCATTCACTGCTTTCTTTTTTAATCAGCAGATTGAGACTTAACGAGGCATGGCCCTTCTTTCCTGTGTTTTTGACTTCTGTATAATACTTCTAGACTTTTTTTAGTCAGAAACTGAAGCTGTCAATAGTCACTGCTGTGACTCTGGTTTCAGGGGGAAACTAATTGTTCAGCCAAATAATGTTAAAGAATCCTTTAAAAACAATCCTTCATCATGATTATGATGGGGACGTGTTTGTCTGGAAAGCAGCATCTTTCTACTTACTGGTGATTATGACAGTGGCAAGTTATCGACTGAAGAATGAAAAGAGGAAGTGAAGGAGGAAATCAGTGCTTGTCTGTTCCTCTTTAAATCTTCCTAAAGCCCAAGCCACCTCCCACAATGCAAGAACATGGATGCGCCTCACTTGTAGCTTACTCCAACTTCAACCAGTTGTAATCTTATGTGCACAGAACGAATGTGGAATTGAGACTTTTTTAGAATCAAATAAATAAAGAGTAACACGTTTCAAATATTTAGGTTTATCGGGAAGGTGTGATAAACCAAAGTGCAAAAAGGAGTCTTGAGAACAAGGACACCAAAGTTTAACGGGGATAAAGACGCTCAACTGTGGGAAGCAGAGACCCAAGACAAGACTGCATCAAATTGGTTTTGTTTTGGCGCGGTTCACATCCCAGGACTCAGGCATTCTCCTTTTACCCTTTTCAACAACAATGACTGCTGTGTTGCTGCGGCAAGGCCAGTGGGATTGGCACTCTGAAAGACACTATGGCTGTTGTCTACATGGAAAAGGAAGCATGACCATGAATCCCCCCACTTCTAAAATTCTTAATATGTACTTTTAAGTAAACAGCTTTTAAGCACAACAACAAGAGACCAGAGTCTCTTCAGTCAAGTTACATATAAAGGAATGAAACTTTAGCAGAAAACACACACTTTTGCTCAATCTTACCGGTTTAGGCATGTTTGCTTCCCCTCCTCCTTACACCCAACAGCTGAGAGGATAAATCCGTCAGCAGACGGAAGTCAAACCTAAAATGAAAAAAAAAATACATTTATTTTTAAAACACGAGTCGATGGGGAATGTGCATTTGTGTTTTGAAACAAGCATTACATTTGATTTTCAACGCAAATTCCCGATTCTGCACTGAGAATGTACCGGTTTTTATTGAGCATACTGCATGGAAGAGGAGTCTAATTTTAGTCTTAATTTTGCAAAATTATATGAAAATAGTTAAACCCACCAAACACTCACTTAAAACACCAACATTTAGCCACTAGGGGTGCTAGACTTGTAACACCCAGGGGGTTTCCCCTTGAAACAATGGTCAGGTTTCATATTTTGTTCTGTTGCCCAGACAACAGCTTTGATCTTAGTTAGCTCTTGTGTTTAAGGGAAGCTCGGACTGCCATTAAGCGTCACTCTAAGCAAAATTACTCATTTGGTGACGGATCTGATACTCTTTTAAGTTACATAGGAAGGTTTTAAAGAAGGGTAGTGTACACAAGTGCTTATTGGCCAGAAAAAATCCTTTATTATATCTTAACATAAGTCATTAGTTGGGTCTACAGTTAATCGTTGTCGCAATTGCACGAAACCTGAAGTTTTTTTATTTACTAGTCCCGTTCACATTGAAAAACTTATTTTCATGGAAGTAAGTTAGGAGTTTCTCACTACAAAATGCCCCCTTTTCCTTAAATTTCAAAATATGTATTCTACCATTTTTTAAAGCAGCCAAACAAAACTCTCTTAAAAGGTTATTTTCTTGAAAAGCAGAGACATTTTTCTTAAATTCACTACACTTAAACGAGCTAAAGGCTTTAAATCGGTAGCAAATTCAAACAGTTGAAGCTTTTATCTTAAGTGTTTCTAGATGGACGTGATTCCTGGTGGATGCTCTGTCTCTACAGGCTTTAGCATAGATGAAATATCATAAGGCTTATAGGTGTGTTAACACCCTGCCTAAATAAGAAGGTTGCATCATTTTCACATGATACCAGTTTTGATGTCTGTATAAGTCCACTTATTCTTTGCTGCTTCTGCAATTCCTCAAATTATTAAAACTCATTTAACTAAGTGTCTAGGGAGTAATGGCCTATAGGTTAGAGCAGTGCGCTTGTGCTCTGATAAGGTTACAAATTTTCCTATAGCATTTGAACCTAATGCACTAAAAAAAAATTTAAATAGTAAGTTAGACTATGCAGATTATGCCTAAGGCTTAAAAAAAAAAAAAAACAACAACAGTGTAATGAAGTAGTCAAAAACACAAAAGTATTTAGTATAATAGTATTTAGATAAAAGTAAAGAAAGGAACTACAAGAATTTATTCTTAAGATTCATGTTTTGTCTTAGTCAGCTGTAAGCTGTTTTATATTTTCTATCATATACACTCATAACTTTTAAATTAGTATTCAATGTTTTGTGAAGATGTAAGCTCAGACCTCTACGTGGTTTAATGTAAAGTAGGGGGATTTCTGATCTCTCCTCCTCAGCAGATGGCAGCTTACACTGAGCCTGGTTCTGCTGCATGTTTCTTACGGTTAGAAGGGAGTTTTTCCTCTCCACTGTCGCTACAAGCATGCTGAGAGCATTCCAGTCAATGAGTCGATGCAATCAACTGGTTTTCCTTAGATACAAAACTTTGAATCAATTTGACTGTATGATCTGGTGAACTGTAAAGTGCATTGAGATGACGTGTGTTGTGAATTGGCGCTATAGAAATAAACTAAATTGAGTTTCTATTTCTATATTTTAAGTTTTTGCATTAAATTAGATAAGGCATTCTAGCACATAAACATGATTGAATCCAAATTATTGTAGCTATTATATTGTAGCTCTGTCTGTAAGTTAAAGGTTGGTGCATCCTGGCAGAGGCGGAGCTAGATGAGGGGCCAGGGGTGGCCTTAGCCAATCATTGGCCACCCCTACCATTGTTTTATTCCTAATAATCAAGTGGAATTTTCAAAAATTTCACATTTTTCATATATTTATAATTACTTGATAACAAAAACACTGTGGTTAATTATGCACATCAATATGCTAACATTAAAGATGGTAAGTACATACTTCATGCTCTTTTTCAGAACTAGATTTTGTGTTTTATGTGCTAAAGAGAAAATTATGTGTCTCTGCATTCATCTAGGAGTCTTTAGTGAAATCATAGATACATTACTATTTTATTGAAAACATATTAAATAATCAATTTATGTAGATATTAGTACTTGTAAATATCAATTTTATCTAAGGATGATTATTGATAAAAGTAGGTAAGTAATGACAATGGAAAAGATGTTTGGTCCAGAACTCAAACCTGAATTTTACCTTTCATCTAAATCAGAATCAGAATCAGAATCAGAATCGGGTTTATTGCCATTGTTAGTGAAGAGGTTCACAACTAGGAAATTTTTGTGGTACAGTCGTGCAACATGAAACATATATGAAATAGTAAATAAAATTATAAAAATCTCTAAAAACACTAGGGTATAAGGCATGCAAAAAATATACTAAAGCATGGATGTTCAAATATGTGCATCTATTTGTTAGCAAAGGCTGTAGGAAAGTATAGTTTGTCTTTGTTTAGAAAATATGGATGTTTTGCTTGTTAATTTTCCTTTTGGAACAGGGTAGATTGACCCAGAGGTTCTGGTGCCTATCCATTTTTGGCCACCTCTCAGTGTACACTGGCCACCCTTATAAAAATGTTCTGGCTACGCCTCTGCATGTTGGAGGGTTGACCTTCTAATTGATCATCTAAATGCTCACTGTATTTTTAAATAGCCAACTATATCTTTTTAGGCTTTATTAAAGCAATATGATAGCATCTTTATTTACGAGTGTAAACTATAAAATAAGCCCTTAAAACAATTATGAGGGTTCCATTAAAAAAATATTTTAATTCATAATTTAGATGATCTAAACACCGATTTGTGAGAAGACTAATATGCCTCGAGGAAACCACCTAGTTTACCTATTTACCCGCGGATTTGGCTTCCGTTCAAACTGAAATTTAACCACAACTTCAAGCAACAGCAAGACAACTGTTGCTCCGCCCGACAGACATTAGCATAACACCACGAATATAATTAATGTTGATTAAAAAAACTGAAATATAGCATTCTTTGAGTCGATAAAGAGCTGACTGTACAAACACACGGTCCAAAAAGTCACTAGAACCGAGCCTTTGGTGTCTGACATTTTCATGCTAGTGGGTGTAGCCCCACATAACGGGACGAGCCTAGCCGAGGCTGTGAAGTTCCGCCACATTTGCCAACAAAAATGCAGAAACTCGTTAAAAACGGCAACGAAATACAACTAAACTCCACTTTTCCAAGCATTTCTGTGTAGTTCAAGGAAGAGATATTAGGTTTAAAATATTTAAACGTGTGAGACGCAAACCACACAAGCACGAGGACATCCGTTAGTAGTCCATCAAAGTTGAAGAGAAGCTCATCTTTTTTTTTTTTTTTTTTGAAGGGAGAGGAAAACTCACCGGGGATCTACGTGTCTCCTCGAAATTCAAAGCCGAGTGGAAAGCGATGAATCACGACGAATAAGTTTGGTTTCCGTTATTTTTCTCGTCTCCTACAATTAAATATCCAAGGACATGAGAGCAGCGTTTAAGTCTAAACAATTATAAGGCGATTTGGTGTGTCTGCGTCAAGCGGACTCAGTGAGAGATGGTTTCCGGTTTTGGCTTTAAAAAATAAAAGCCTCATCCGGACCTGTCACAATAAACTGAGAAAATACTTTTTTGTTTAAAATAAAATATTTATACATAAAATCGACGTATCTATTTAGAATTTAAACTGTCTATAATAAAATAATAAAAAAATGCTTTTAACTTTTATTGTATTTTAAATTGGAAGTTGTGACATTTACGTTATAGTTTGTTTTATTTATTTTTTAGGTATAATTCTTAACATTTCCGACAACGTCTTCTTTTTTAGAAACTTGACACTTGTTAAGGGACGTGTTATATGGCTGTCAGTAGGCGACATCTGACTAATAGTGATGCATGCATTAGAGTGCAGTATAGTCCATTTAACCAGTGCAAAACTGAAAAATTACTGCATTTATATTATTTTTTTTTGCATGAATCGTTGGGTAAATTGTGTTGAGTTTACACTCTTAAACCGAGTTTAGAATTTAATTAAATGCTAAGTTTGTCGAAATCCCATTATCTCATCTGATATATATATAATCATATATATATATATATATATATATATATATATATATATATATATATATATATATATATATAAATTACAAAAAAATAGTATAGAACCTATTGCATTTTTATATTAAATCCCTTTTCCCGTCCAAAAGTTGCATAAATCAGCCCATCCCTCCTTACTACTTTTTCTCTCCTTTTTATTTTATTTTTTTTTTTTTGCGGCTTTTATTTATTTTTTTTTTTTTAGAGACACTTGGGTAAATCTTGTATTTTTTTTTTCCTTAAAGAAAATGCCAGAGAGAAAAAAGCTGATGGCTCAGAATGCCTGTCAGGATAAATATGGAAACTCTAACCACTGAAATCTACATGAGTTAAAGGTTTCCGCCTTAATAGCTCTCTACTGACACCTGCTGGTTGTGAGGTGTATATAACAGCAAACTCAAGCTGCAAATTATTTGCAATGTTCCAGCACCATTTTCACAATTATAACCCTGCATAACATATTTAAAAAATCTGCACATTTTTAATTACTTAAATTATATGGCAAAAACTAAAAGCACACACTAGGAAATACATTTAATCAATAAAGTAGAGGCAGCTGGATCCAACTATTTGGCTAATTGAGGAGGAGGAGGAGTTGTGGACTACTAAAACAAACAGGTAAGTTGAAGAAAACCTTTTGATCATCATAAATGTTGTTCTTTAAAATCAAAACGTTAGATTTTTTTTATTCATAATGTAGCAAAGTGATTTCATGTTTGGTTGCACAAACTGTTGGAGAGGGTCAATAAGTTATTAATATAGAAGATAAATCAATGACTTTCTGTTTGCCTAAATGTTCATCTTTATTCATTCCAATATTCAGGGTAAATTTAAAGTAAACATATTTTAACAATCTGGTCCAAAGAAATAAAAAAATAAAAACAAAGATAATGCTTGATTAGATACAGACTACAACGTTTCAAGCATTTATTTCTGGTAATTTGTGATAACTATGGCTTCCAGCTAATGAAAATCCTAAATTCTCGTTTTATATAAATCACTGCATCAATGCAGAAGGCTGGAGCTTTAATAAAGCCCTCTGAACGTTTGGCTCTTGTGTCTCATCACTTCTCAACAGCACTACATAGACACTTGTGGTTTAGATCATGAGAGCCAGCTTGAAAACACTTCCAATGTTGTTTCCCTTTTCAGGGTTTGCTTAAGAAATGCAACAGTTGCAGCTGATGTCCTCGATATGTCTGAGCATATGTCCTTCCAAACCAATTACCATGCAACATGTGTCACCAAGCAGCCTATGTGAAGATGGTCTGTGCGCCATTACTGATGGTGGATCAGCTGGAAAAATAAATAACTATACAGACCTTTCATATGTTTCAGCATGAACAAAAGATATTTTATTTTAAAGTTCACAGATTAAATATTATGAATTATTTGCTATTAATGTAAATATACCTTGTAAAGGCGGATGGCATCAGATCTGACTGGTTGTCTGAAACCCTTTTCAGACAGATAAAGCTTTGCTTTAAATGGGTTATGCCTTTCTAATCCGTCAGGGATCCAGATGTTCCCGTTGCTTTTACACTTTTTCCTTCCACTCAACTTTTAATCACTATCTTTCCTTTATTGTCCTTATAATGCTAAAAGCAAAGTATACATATCACTGCAGATGTTCACACAATTTGTTCCCCTCAACGATGAGAAAAGTTGGCAGAGAGTAGGTGGAAAAGAAACTCAGGTTTCACCTGCATGGCGTTGGCTCCAGAGAGCCCGTGTCTCTGATTAAACAAGCACTTAACATTTTAAATAGACTAGAACTCCATTTTTTGATGGATGACCTATTTGGCTACACTGTCGAACCAGGTATTGAACTTTTTACTAATCATTGATGTTCTTTTTTTATTGGTTTTAAGTCATATTTATTAAATTTAGTAAAAAATAATAACTTCTATATCTCAAGATATATATATATTTTTTGAGTGACTGATTTAATACAGTTTATTAACTATGCAGGAAACATCAACTGGACAGTATCCATGTCTTCTTTTGCGTTTTTTTCTTATTTTGACATACTTTGTGCGTATTCTCTTTGAACGAACAGATCAAGAAGTTTCCTCGCTGACACAAGCACTCCGAATCCCTCAAGACAAACAGTTGTCACGGTGCCAAACTGAAACCAAAAGTGAGTTTGTTTCCCTTTTCTGGAAAACACGCACATTTGAAATCTGCTGATGCCTCCATTTCCGCATCCTCTGGACTCCCCCCATCGTCCTCCTCCTTTGGCCACATCTAAAATACTTGGCTGTTAGAAGTGTCACATTGTGTTTGCACACAGAGCTCGCCCTCCTTGGTCTGTATTTAGACTGGCATATCACCACGTCACAAGATCTGGGTCCATATGACTGCGAGCCTGCTGCTGTATTGTCAAAGCAATGAAAGGGGCCTCTGTGGGGATAATTGAATAGAGAATTGAACAAATTTGGGCTGATTTTTCTTACCAGAATTCATCAGGTTCATGCGATAAAGCCCCCCCACCCATCACCCATCATTAAAAGTAAAAATAAATCTAAAACTAACTGAATAGTATTTAGGATTTGGACAAAAACGCTTAGTGTTGTTTTTTTTTGGCCAGTTTTCATCATGTTTTGTTCTATATGAAAGCCTGAGATGATCACACGTGTCCAAAATGCTAGTGTAAACTAAGACCCATCTGAGTGGATCAAATTAGCAGCTCTAATGTCGTTAACACGGGTAGGAGAACAGAACCATGGAGGTCGTTATGTGTTATGCAATTAGAGAACTGTCTTCAGTGTCCCTTCCTTCCTCCCCCTCCCTCGCTGTGTTCAGCTGATCGAAATAAAAATCCTTCTGTTTCTTTTTCTCATTTACTTCGTTCTGAGCAGTTTCACCTGAGCTGTCCTCCTGCAGAACCCACACACATCTGAGACTTACTGCACTTGTTTATCTGTTACACTGCTAGAGGCTCTGACTCGCATGTGAAGAAGAAAGAGAGTTCACATTTTATTTTACTTTTTTTTTTCTTCATTCAGTAAATATGGGACAAAAGGCATCTTTGGCAGAAGAAGTGGACGAGACGGCTGAGGTGTTGTCGACAACCACCAGTAAGGAGCTCCGTCGATTTCTGACACTATTTTGCACTTCACTATTCAAATATAGGTTTTAGCCTCACACATGTGTTATAAATATGATAAATGCAAATAACATAAAAATGCAATTTCTTATTCCCTCCCACATTTCATTTTTCTATATTTAGTTAGGCTGTCTGAAGCCTTTGGATACAGAAGTATAATTACTGTGTTATGGTCTGCATAAATAAAAGAGTTAAGAGGTTGATTTAATATTGTAAAACTAAAAATGAAGTTCCAGTTGGACGTTAACATCAAACCTAAGTCGATGCCCAGTTTCGAATGTATTGATGATGAATTGTTTTAGCATGGTAGCACAGGGAGTGAAAGGAGCCCTCAGCATGATGCTGCCATTTCTTCTTGATAGTTGGTCTATAGTTGTTTGCCTCCATACTGTCAGCTCCACTACGCCTAACATACTTATCCTCAGAAACTATTTTCATTATAAACTGTAGTCATTGGTGAATCTCAGAGAAAGTTGAAGGTGGTTAGTTTAAAGAAACAGCTTTTTTATTGTTATCAGCATCAATAATAATCAAGTTTACTATCATATATCAATCTTATTTGCATGTTTTTTTTTTTACTTTGCTCATATAATTCTGGCCCTATATAGATTAACGGATTTCTAGAATAAATAAACTTTTGTACCCATACATGTTAAAACAATACTGAAACAAATGAAACATATGGAGGGCAAGAAGATTGTCAAAAAATAAGGACATTCAGAGTTATAAATCACTAATCTGTAATGTCCTGTCAATTTTTAAAGATTTTAACACAAATTGGAAGAAATAAATGACCTCTAATTTGCACTAACTTACTTGTATTTGACTTTATATATAAAATATTCCTCATAAATCAGGTTCTGAAATCTTCCCCCATCAATTTTAAGATTGGACAACATCAGTGAGTTTATCTAACTCCCCTAAAGTCAGCAGTAGAAAATAAACTTTCATACTCTCTGAAGGATTTTCCTCTTTTAAATCTCATAACAAAAGCAACGAATACTTCCCCAATGGCTGAGAAATAATAGCTTGTCTTGGTTAGTGTGCTTTAAATATTCTAATAAGAAAAAAACACACTTCAAGTCAAAGGCAGCTGGGATTACGGGCCGCTCCCTTGCAAATCTCGAAGTTATGAATCATAAATGTTACATTTTTATCAGCATCACATTTAAATCAGCCTTTTCATATAATAGATCTGCACTATAAATAATATCTTCTGCTTTGCGACTTTAACTAATATGAATCGGCTGGATTTTTACATGAATCCCCCTGTTTTTCTTTGTTAATAATGTTTTTAATCCTTTGTTCTGGCATCTTTCTCACCTCGTGTGTCAGAATTTTGAATCTC